CCTCTTGGACGCCTCTTGGAAGCCTCCTGGGGGCGCCTCGGAGTCTCTGGGTGGATCTTGGGGCCATCACGGTGGGAAAAGCTCGAGACGTCGTCCCTCTTGGGGCCCTGCTGGGCCGTCTTAAGGGGCCCTGGGACAGTCTTGGGGCTATCTTGGGGCTCTATCGGGCCGTCTTGGAGCTCCTCTGTTGGCCTCATGGGCCGTCTTGAGAGGGGGTCTCCTTGGGCCGTAGTGAACGCTCTCGAAAAGGCAGGGTGGAACAGGCAGGTGTTCCTCAGGAACTGGGCCAGACGTGGCTCGCTGTCCCGATTCTCCTGCTGCAGTCGGACCGAGGTACAAGGTCAAGGTCAGTTCGGGGAGGGTACCCCAGTGTTCTTCGTGTTTGTTGGATGTTCTGGTGCATCCTGGGGAGGGTAACCCTCGGATGTTCTGTGTGCTCTGGTCGACGGAGGTCTCATGTTCTTGAGGGATGCTCTTGTGGCCTGCGTCCGTCTGTAAGGAACAGGGCCTGATGTGTCTCGATGTCCTGATCCCCCTTCTAGGACGGAGGGGCCATGGCGGCCCCCCCCGGGCTCCTGTGGGCGCGCTCCTGCGAGAACTCCGGGGGCGCTCCGGGCTGTGGCGGCAGGGAGTTCCTGCAGGAGTTTTCGGGCACCCTGCGAAACGTCCACGCCCCCTCGGGCGGCTACCACAAGAGGAAGGAGGGAGAGAGGGAGGGAGGGAGGGGAGGGAGGGAAAGAAATGAGGGGAGGGAGGGGAGGGGAGGGGATGGGGGGAGGGGCGGGAGGCAAGGAGGGAGGAGGAGGCAGGAGGGAGGAGGAGAGGAGGAGGGAGAGGGAGGAGGGAGAGGAGGGAGGAGGGAGGGAGGTGGGAGTAGGGAGGAGGACAGAGAGGGGGGAGGGTAGGGAGAGAGGGAGGAGAGGGAGGAGAGGGAGGAGAGGGAGGAGAGGGAGGAGGGAGGTGGGAGGAGGGAGGTGGGAGGACGGAGGAGGGAGGAGGGAGGAGGGAGGAGGGAGGAGGGAGGAGGGAGGAGGGAGGAGGGAGACGGATGATGATGATGATGAGGAGGAGGAGGAGGGCTGATGAGGAGGAAAAGAAGGAGGAGGAAAAGGAGGAAGAGGAGTAGGAGAAGGAGGGAAGAGGGGGAGCAGGAGTAGGAGAACCAGTGCAAAACCAAGACTCGGCTCCTGCACTGACTGGTCTCCATAAATGGAAACAACCGCTTGAACATCAGGAATTGTGCCAGAACGCTATTCCTGGGATTCCAACGCCGCGAGTCACATTGACTGTTGAGCCTTGACGATCCTGAGTCGCACCAGGAGGCCATTCCTGGGACTTCAACACCGCGAATCGACATGACAACTGCGCCCTGAATTCCGACATCTAGCCCACACGCAATTTCTGGGACGTCAGCCATAATGATTCTTCTGCAATTGCAAGCTCTGACGACGAATGTGCGCAGCGCTCAGGCGAGAGCCACAGTTTGAAAACGGGCCGCCCTCCATCCGTGCAGCTCTTGCAGACGTTCAAGACGAACGTGCGCGGCGCAAAGGAGAGAGCCACGTTTTGAAAACGGGCCGCCCTCCATCCGTGAACCTCTTGCAGTGTGTGTGACGAGAATGAGCGGCGCTGCAGCGAGCGCTACATATTGAACGCGAGCCGCCCTCCAGCCGTGAAGCTTTTGCAGACTCGTAGGACGAATGCGAGACCACATGTTGAAAGCGGGCCGCCCTCCATCTGTGAATTTGCTGCAAGTTTCAAGCTTCAGGACCATACTGTGTACGCAAAAGTCGGGCGAAACGCCCGGCCCGCCCTTTCGACCGGCCCTGGGGTGCCACAGGGAAGAGGTATCAAGAAAGACAAGGCATGGAGGTGGAAATAATTCTACAAGATAGGTGCGTTGAGTCCGACCCACGTCAAAAAGGAGGAGGAGGATGAGGGGGATGATGAGGGGGCGGAGGAGGAGAAGGGAGGAGGAGGAGGAGGAGGAGCAGGAGGAGGAGGAGGAGCAGGAGGAGGAGGAGGAGGAGGAGGAGGAGGAGCAGGAGGAGGAGGAAGAGGAGGAGAAGGAGGAGGAGGAGGGGGGGGGGATCAAGCGGCGGCATGCAGCAGCAGTTCGCAGGGCCAGGGCGCCGGCAGCCGCACCCTCGACTCCAGGAGGCGAGTGTCGAGCAGGGAGCAGACGGAGGCGGGGGGCAGCATTGACCCAGCACGGGCGGCGCTGAGCAGCGGGAGCGCGAGCAGCACCGAGCAGCACCCGCTGGTCGCTCTAGCGCCGTCGCTGTCGCTTGTCCCCCCTCATCGCCGCTGCTTGGGGAACAGAACATCATATGGGCGTAAGCTTTCGGAGGTCCGCGCGGCTTTCTCGAGTCTGCGCTGGTCGCCCCTGGCGGCGCCTCCGGTGCCCGCTCGGGGAGCGGCGACGGTGGGCCGAGCTGCTCGGGGCCGCCCCCTGAGGGCCGACGGGCGCGCCGTGGCCAGGATCGGGAGGAGCAGCAGCAGTCGGGCGTTGCGTCAGGTTGGGGCAGCAGGGGGGGGGGGGCAAGACCGGCACTGGTTGTGCCCTGAAGGAGCCCCTGGAGGAGCCCGAACGGGCCCCCCCATGGGGCCCGAGAGGGTCACGGAAGGTGCGCGCCTCTCCCCCCGATGGGTATGGCAACGCCGCCCCGAAACAGCGGAAGCTGGAGGAGGAGGAGGAGGAGGAGGAGGAGGAGGAGGAGGAGGAGGAGGAGGAGGGTGCAGGCGAAGGCGGAGGGTTTTCGGGGCGATTGGCCGCGCGAGGCACCGCCCTGATCGACGAGAGCCCCGTGGCGGCCGCCCCCGCCGCCCCCGCCCTCGAGGAGAGACGGGGGCCGGGAACTGGCAGCGCCGGGCCCCGGGCGTGCCCATCCGGGGCCCCGGGACTGGCACGTGGTTGCCAGCGTGTCGGGGGGCCCCAAACGGTGTGGTGACCGCACCGTGTGGTGAGTCGGTGGGGATTCGGGGTCACCGCGCGGTTTTGGGACTCGAGTCCCTCTCCGAGGATGTCTCGGGCGACAGGGGCCGCCAGGGTCCCAAGAACGTGCGGTGACGGACCGTGCGGTGAGGTCTCCTGGGGTTCCGAGGTCACCGCACGGTCTGTCACCACACGGTTTTGGGATCCCTAAGCGTGGCTCGGCGTAACGGGGGGGCGATCAAATCACCGAACGCGTTCCACCACTCGCAGAGTGCCTATTCGCAAACGTCCAAAGAACAAACGTCTGCCTCGACGTACTGGATCGCAAGTTCCTTTCGACGGACCCAGGCCACTTGCGAGGAGTTACTTTGCGAGTAGTGGAGCGCACTTGCCTATCAAAGGCCGAGTGGCGGCGAGGGGTCCTGGGAGGGAAGTGGGGCCTGGAGGTCTTGCACTGTTTGGAGCCCCCCCCCTGGGGACTGTGAGGGAAGCGTCAGGACCCGCCCACACCATGACGCCTTTCCCGCGTGCCGAGTGCATGCAGATAATCGGACGCGAAACATCTGGCAATATGTTTTGTATATTCTCTCTCTCTCTCTCTCTTTTCCCTCGTTCTCTCTCGCTTTATATATTCACACAAACATATACACATATGCATCTACGTATGGTTCAAGCTTTACGTTATATATATATATATATTAAAGAATATATGTATATACATATAAACAGATCTGCCTGCCTGCCTCCCTGCCTGCATGCATGCATGCAGGCATACATACATACATGCATACATACATGTACGCATGCATGCATACCAACCTACCTACCTACATACATACATACCCACATACATACATACACACCTACATGCCTATATGTCTACACTCCGGCATGTCTACATACATGCAAGCATGCATGCATGCATACAGGCATACATACATACATACATACATACATACATACATACACATACATACATACATACATACATACAGCCATCCATCCATGCATCCATACATACTTACATACATACATACAGACATACATACATACTTGCATGCATCAATACATATATACATACATGCATGCATGCATACATATATACATACATACATACATACATACATACATACATACATACATACATACATACATCCATACACACATACATACACACATACATACATACATACATACATACATACATCCATACATACATACATACATACATACATACCTTCATACATACATACATGCATACATAAATCCATCCATACATACATCCATACATGCCTGCATGCATAGCTACATACATACATACATAGAAACACACATGCACATACCTACACATATACACACATACACGTACATATACCTACCTACGTGCCTACATATTTACCTACCTACCTACCTACCTACCTACTTACCTACCTACCTACCTACCTACCTACCTACCTACCTACCTACCTACCTACCTACCTACCTACATGCCTACATACATACAGACATATAACTATACATACATGCATGCATACATGCATGCATGCATCCATACATACATGCATGCATGCATGCATGCATGCATGGATGCATACATACATACATACATGCATACATACATACAGACAGACAGACAGACAGACAGACATACACACATTCATACACATATCCTGGGGCCTCGCCCAGAAACCACGGCGGCGCATGGGAGGACCATGGCTCCCGAAGGCCTTCACGAGGCGTCCAAGAGGCCGCTGGCCGCCACCAAGACAGGCTCCAGGACCATGCGAGATCCCTTCCAGAAGGCCCTGGAGGCCTCCAACACGCCCCAGGAGGGCTTTAAGATGCCCCCCTCAGAGGGCCCCAGGAGGCTGAAGTCGTCACATTCTTCTTGGAAGAAGTGCACAGGGTCAGTATCTACACGCGGCGGGCTGCCCCAGCGTGCGCCGCGACTCCAAACGCCGCCCAGACCGCCCCCAAAAAAACAGCCCAGGAAGTCCCCAAGAGAGCCCAAAGACTGCCCCAGACGGCTCCGAGAAGGCCCAAGACGGCCCAGGGAGGCCCCTGGAAGCCCCCAGGGAAGCCCAACGAAGGCCTCCCATACATCCCAGACGCCGCCACAACCGCCCCAAAACAATAACAGCCCAAAGAGCCCCCAAGAAAACCCGAAGACGGCCCAAGAGGGCCCCAAGGAGGTCCAGGACGTCCCATGAAGGCTCTTGCAGGCCCCTAGGGGACCCCAGGGGAGGCCTCCAGACACCCCCAAGAGAACCCACGGACGTCCACAGTTCTGGGTACGGCACAGAACAGCCCCAGGGCGGCCTCAGGGGGCTTCTCACATGGCCCAAAGATGCCCCGAGAGGCTGCCCCAAGAGCTCCCCAACGGGGCCCCAAAGCGCCCCTAAAACGGCCTGAGAGCTCTCCAACACGGCTTCAGGTCTTGTGCCCCAGTGTGGCCCAAACATTCTCCCAGATGCTTTAGAGGCGCCCTTCAGAGGACCGAAGACGCCCCCCAGGTGGACGACGACCCCGACATCGTCGATCCTCGAACCCCGAATGCTCGACGATGACAATTCAGAGCTCCAAGCCAAGCTAAGCCACGAGCATCTACGCTGAGCTGTCGCACTTCTCCCTAATACCTTATGCCCCATTGGGCAGTTGTTACGGCGACTCGTCAGGACGCGAGTATCTGTTCGTCCTCCTGATGTTTCCTACAGTGTCCTTCTGCTGTCTCCCATATCTTGGTTTGGTTGCAAATCATGAGAGCCTCGTGTACGCTTGCGACTCCGTCTTTACAGTGCACTCGCGTTGTTTAGCGTCGGGTAGTCGATGTGATAGCGCCGAACCAACGTCGATTAGCATCGAGTCGCACACGCCAACAAGATGACACGGGAGGCACCCGCGAGCTACCACCGATCTTCCCCTTGCTTTCTTGGAAGGCCACCCCGCCTCGCCCCGCTCCCTGCGGCACCCCAGGGTGCATTTCGATCCGATCGATCCGATTTGGTATCGGCGATCCGATTCCAATCCGATATTCGGGCGATCCGATGCGGCCAGAGGCTCGCATGGCGCCGTTGCGTACCCCGTCAGGAATTCACTCTGACGCCCGCGGTTGTCTCCAGATGGCCCCCCTTTTCCCGAGGCGCCCCGCGGAGTGCGCCAGGCGGCTCGGAACGCTCCTCTTGCGCTCCAAGAAGGGCCCCATGGCCCCCGAGAGCTCCCCGAGAGGCAACCACACGGTGGGGGCGTTCGATAAGGAATGTGCCCAGGAGGCTGCAGACCCTGGAGGCTTCCCTATCGGATGAGGGCGTCGATGATATCCATCTCCGATCCACGATTGGAGTTCCATCGGCTTCCAGACCCTGGGTTCCTTACCGAAGGTTTCCTTATCCAATGCCCCCTCCGTAGCCGTTTCGGCGCGAGCTGGTGTTCTGGAGCTGGAGACAGCTCGCGTTTGTGTCCACTTACTTCGAAGCGGCGTAGTGGGCACGAGCCAACTTTCACGACGACGGCCCCACCTGTGGCAGCCCGCGGGTCATGGCGCCGTCACCTTCGGACCCTGGCATCATCCCACGCGCGCGCAAGACACCTCTCTGGTCTTGCTCCTGCGGCTGTGATGGCAACTGGGCGTCCAGGACGCGCTGCCGCCTGTGCTGGAAGGCTGCTCCCACCCATGTGGTGCAGGCAGCCAAGCTCTCGGCAGCAGTCGCCAACGGGCCAACTCCCAGCTCGTCCCGCCCGCGTGGTGCCTGGGCGCAAGGCCCGCCAGGACAGGGGCAGCTGCTGGCGCAGCTGCAGCAGCTGCAGAAGCAGGTGGCAGAGCTCAAGGGCGAGCCCCCGCCTCCGTCGGAGCCCTGGAAAGGACGCAAGCCCCCGCCCAGGAGTCGGTCGAGGAGAGTCCTGGCATCTCCTTCAAGGACGTTCGCACTTTCTTGGCAAAGGAGGGGCTTGACACCAGCGCGGTGGAGGAGGCAGAGAAGGTTGCGGAGCCGAAGACGTTGGAGAGCAAACAGCCTACTGCTCAGACGCAGCGCTGGAGGGTCAAGGCCATGCTGGACAAGATCAAGAAGCTCGCGGCCCGCGAGTCAGCCATCTTGGAGCAGCAGGCCGCATTTGACAAGGAGCTCCTGGAGCTCAGGGCCTCGCTCGGCGAAGAGAATCAGAAGCTTGCGGAGGGGGAGGCCAAGTTGGTCAAGTTGCAGGCCAGCGAGTTCCCCGACCCGATCCTGGCAGTTGCAGCTGGGTTGGATGAGGACGTCGCCGCCAGCCAGGAGGCCAAGGACGCCCTCGCGGTCCTGGCCCGCTTGCAGAACGCAGCCAGCGAAAGCAAGAAGGCTGTTGCCGCTGCCAAGTCCGCTGCGGCTCCGCCTGGTCCTGCTGCCGGGGGTCCAGACGCAGGCGGCGAGCGCCAACCTGTGCCAGAGTCAGATGACATCGACATGGAGCTGCTGGGAGGAGAAGGCTGGGAGGAGAAGCATGAGGTGTATGCTGCAGCCTCAGCAGCCCTCCTTGAAGCGACCCCTGAGCAGCGGGACGAGGCCAAGCGCAAGCTGCGGGATGCCTTGGACGCGCTCTGGGCAGCAGGCAAGCGGCCTCGGCACCTTTGACCCCAGGCCCAACGTGAGCCTGGACCTCGCCTGCACGGTGAGGTGCCCCCGCCATCCCAGGGTTGAGGGGGCAGGCGCGAGGGGGCCCGTGGCGGCCGAACGTCTGCAGCTGGCCAAGCTGGTGCGGCCTTCGGAGAAGCTGGGCGCCAGCTTCCTCAGCATCAACGGCTCCACGTGGGCCGAGTCCCAGACGGCGCTCGAGCAGCTGCTGGGCGAGAAGGTCAGGGACGATGTGTACTTCATCCAAGAGACCCGCTTCACTTCGGCGCTGGCTGAAGGCTCGGCCCGTGCCTGGTGCAAGCGGAACGGCAT